CAAGCTTCACAGAATGTGACTGCTACTGCGGTACCTTGCCTGACCCTACGGCTCCAGCTAGAATCTCATGCTCCCTCCTCCTTCATTACAGTAGTTACCATACTCATTTATAGTGAGGGGATGGCAGACAGAGTAAGGATGAAGAAGAAATAGATAACACATCTTGTGAAACAGCAAAGCACTGTGCTAATACTACCTAGATTAAAGAAATGATTGCTTTCTTGGTAGTATGTAAATATTTGACACATAACCAAGATTTATAAGTCACAGAAACAGTATCTTGACTCCTCCTTTTGATTCTAATAATCTGACAAACTGGTTTGCTTATTTGTATCACTACCCCACTCAGAAAAATGGAGTTCATGTTTTGAAACCTACAAACAAACAGAAAATGTTCTCTTTCCAATAATCCTCCAACCCCCATTTGGTTCATGATGTTGGACCATGTTGTGCACCTATAACCTAGGGTTACTTACCAGAGGCTTTGTCGCCACAGACCACACAGTACTCTACCACTTGCGGCCGCTGGACGTCGGCCTTACCCAGCAAGCGCTCCACAGAAGCAGAGTCCGTGACGATCTAAGAAGAATCAGGAAACAAGCAAAGTGCTGGTTAAAAACCAGATCGTTAAACAAACTAATGTTTAACTATAAATTCCTAATCTTGGTTTCTAAGCAGGAAAACCCTGGGCAGAACTGGGAAAATCCCACCTGACAACTTACCCTGATATCCAGAATGGCCCTGTTGCTCACCTAGACAGTGCCCCTTCAGCAGTGATGGTAGTGGCGGGGGGCGGGGGGGGGGGGGTGCGGTTTGTCCAAGGTCAGGCACTGGTTTTTACTCACTCTCCTGTCTGGCTAGCAAATCGCCCAGGATGGGGGGGCCATGTGGAGAATCACATGCAGATGCTCCAACATGAACATACTGCAGGTCTTTCTGGCTCCTTCTCTATTCCCATGAAACAGCTTGGAATGTATGCTGAGAGGCATATTTGGCAGAGAAAGAATCAAGCTGCTTTTTTTTCCCCCCAAGATTTTATTTATTCATTTGAGAGAGAGAGAGAGCAAGCAAAAGCATGAGCGGGGGGGGGGGGCAGAGGGAGAAGCAGGCGCCCTGCTCAGCAGGTAGCCCTATGTGGCGCTTGATTCCAGGACCTTGGGATCATGACCTGAGCCGAAGACAGACACTTAACCTACTGAGCAACCCAGGTGTCCCAGAATCAAGCTTTATTAATTAAGTAACTAGGTCTCTCCTTGAGGCAGCTGGGAGTAGAAGGACTAGAACAGGCGACCTCTGAAACCTGTTATTTCTCCTTCACTTGCAGCTGACTTTCTAGGTGACAGTGTTACTCATCCAGAAGAATACTGTAACTGACACCAATATGAGAAAGTGAAAAATAGCTGTTATTAAATAATGTATCAACAATAACCCTTACAATTATTTCTGTATGGTGGGAATATATATAGAGATTGCTATGTAGAATGACCTCTTATAAAACATGCAACAAAATCCACAGCCACCTTCTCATGAACAACATAAAAAAGCAGGGAGGAATTTTAATTTCAGTTGGTCAGAATGTACTCTGGGAAAGGAGGCAGTATTTACTAACTGCACTATGAGGAGTCTCAAAAGTGCAGTTCTGAAAGCTGAACATCACTTGTGCTCTGAACCCAGTCCTATCAGAAGAAAAAACATCCTTTTCCTTATTTTTCTCCATAGTAGAAAGTTCCTCCCCACTCAAAACACATGGATTCTTAGCAGCATTATTCACAAGAGCCAGAAGGAAGAAGCACCCCAAACATCCAACAACAGATGACTATATAAGTAAAGTGTGGTCTATACATAGAATGGAATATTCTTCAGCCTTAAAAAGGAATGAAATTCTGACACAGGCTACAACATGGATGAACCTTGAGGACATTATGCTCAGTGAAATGAACCAAATGCAAAAGAAAAAATATTGTAGGGTTCCACTTATGTGAAGTCCCTAGAACGGCCAAAGTCGTAAAGACAGAAAGGAGGGGGATGGTTGCCAGGGCTGCAGGGAGAGGAGAGACCCAAAGGCAGCAGTTCACAGGAGCAGGTAAGGACAGAATGAAGAGCTGGGACCAGGCCTGACGATCTGGAAAAGATGAAGTGAGATTTAGGAACAAGTCAGTCCTCATTTGGCTGTGGACAGCCCTAGGTGGGGCCCCTAAAATATCAGGGCCAAGAACTGCCACCGTGCAGCCTTAGGTTAGTTAGAACAATTCTCCAGTGGCCTTAGTACCAGCTTGCTCATGCCAGTCTCCTATGGGCCACTGACTGTCCTGACTCAACTTCCATCGCATCTGAGCACTGTAGCTGACTGCCTCCTGGGCCTTGCCGCTCACTTGCTGGTTTTTTACTTTAGCTAAAGCAGCAACCTGCCATACTTGTAGGTCCTCGAAGGACCTTCTAGAGATGGATTTGGCCTTCAAGGCAGAGGAAGAGTCACAAACCAATTTGGTAGCAGAAGTGCTGAAAGGAATGCCTGTGAACAGCCTTACCTGGATCCTGCCAGGGACAAGGTTGTCCGAGGTGGTGAATATGAGCTGCTTGGCACTGGATGTCTCCGGGGAAGCCAGGATCACCTTCCCAGTTCCAGCTCCATCTGGGCTGGTCAGGATGAACTGCTGCTTGGGGGATCCGGAGGCGTCCACTGCGGTGACTATCTGGATCTTCTGTCCTGTCTGCTGGTCTGTTACAATCTACAAGACACAACATGGAGGCTGCTCTCACGGAGTATCATGCAACTCGTGTACTTGCAGGTGGTGCTCAAAGTGGTGATTGCCCAGTGCCGTCCTGGAGTCAATGCTGGTCCAAGATGTAGTTTCACCAGTGCATGGTGAAATGAGAAAAATAAAACACAACCGTGAGCTTTTCAGAAACCAATGTTCATGGAGCTAATTTTATTTTAGGATGATATCATTCCTACTATTTTAATTAAAATGTCCTTTGGGGCGGTGGTGGGGTACTAGATGAAGGTGGTCAAAAGATTCAAACTTCCAGTTTTAAGATAAAAAAAGTACTGGGATATGATGTATGGCATGGTGACTGTAGCTAACTCTGCTGTATGGTGCATCTGAAAGTTGTTAAGAAGGTAGATCCTAAGAGTTCTCATCACAAAGAATAAGCCATTTTTTCTTTTTCTTTTGTATCTATATGAGATGATGGATGTTAACTAAACTTATAGTGGCCATCATTTCATAATATATGTAAGTGAAGTCATTAAGCTGTACACCTTGGACTTATACACTGCTGTGTGTCAATTATATCTCAATAAAATTGGAAAAAGTCCTTTCTTCTATGAAATGGAGATAATAATAGTAGATGATAAGTTTAACTTAAAAAAAAAAAAAAAAAAAAAAAGCCTTGTCCTAGGCATAATAAAGTCCAGAGAAGTCCTGACCCTGACTCCTCCAGAGGCTCCCACCGTTCACCATTCAGGGGGCCAGCTGTCGGAGTCTGCCTCTTTCCAGAATCCCTGCCTAACTGCATCAGTTACAATTGAAATAGTTGCTACAGCAAGAGGGATTTGTCATTCCTGCTCCTGAAATTCTCTGAAGTTGTTCTACTCCCTGTCCTGCCTTCCTCGAGGCCGAGTGCCCAGCTTTGGAACACTGCCCACCTTCTCCCTGGGGCACCAGCAGGCCCTCACAGCAAATAGGATTCTGGGGGCTGTTGTGGCTGGGCCTTGGATAAGGGGAGAGGTACTACATCTCTAGCTGGAACTCCCTTCCCTCTACCATATTTATGGGCAGGTCTGGCATCCATGCTACATCTTGACGGATGCTGACTTGTGACACAGCATTCCGAAGTTCAGACAGCAAACTCACACAGAATCTAGCACAACAGCTTTGCCAACTATCCAATATGGAAAATCAGACAATGCTGGTTAGTTAAAAAAAAAAGACGACAAAGATCTAATCACTTCATTATGTTTACGGAGTGTCCACTATATGTCAAGCTCTGTTCTTTGTACTAGGGATAGGGACATGAACACAACAGAGTTCCTACCTCGTGGAGTTAACCTTATATGGGGAAAACAGACCATGAACACTGATATTGTAGAGTTATCGGTCATGGTAGGTATCATAAAGAATAAAAGCAGAGTAAATGGACAAAGCATGTCAAGGGGAAGGAGGCAGGGGGGCTGCTTTAGAAAGAAAGATCTCTCTGATGGAGGTGATGTTGAGCAAAGACCTGAATGAAGCAAGAGAGGAAGTCATGCAAGTATGTGGCAAAGTATTTTACAGGCTGAGGGCACAGCAAGTTCAAGACCAGAAAGAGCAGACTGGGAACAGAAGATGCATGAACAAATCCTTAGCTGATGGTGGCGCATGAATCCCAGCATAGCATCATTTGCAACTGATCAAGGTCAAAAGATCTTGAAGGCTGAAGAATAGATGTAGAGAACGAAAGGAAGTACCTTTCATTGTTACAACCTGTGGCATACACACTCAGAGTCCCCTGGAAAAGTACAACATGAGACAGAAAACTTTATAAGAAGAATTCTCTTACACTTTCCTACCCAATGCTGAACTGAAAGACTGCAGACAGACTGGCTGACACACACTTCTCTCAGCTGCCACAGAAGGGACTCCTACCTTAGTTAAAAGGTAACAAGCTGGCCTTTGGAAGGCCCTTATAACCTTGAGATCTGGGAGTAAAATGTCTGACTTCATTTTCATGTCTATCAAAACTTATCTACTTCCTAAATTACCTTCCCTGTTAACAAATGAAACAGTCATGTGATTGAGAGGGCTCTCCAATCACCAGCTATAACCAAGGCAAGGCTAGTTGAAGGCCTCCACGTGTTCAGAGGTAAAACCTCTGCGCCTGAGTACACACAGTCACTGGCATGTCACCACCTTTGATGCTATTCCCCAGGCCTCTTGGTCGAGACATGGCAGGTATGGGGATGGGGCAGGGGTGGGAGGTCGGAGTAACTGGGTCCAGCTGCTCTTGGTGGCTCTATGTAACATATCCCAAAGCTCAGACTATTCTTTTCTTTTTTCTCCTAAAGATTCAGGCTCACAAAACCCCAGGATGACCCTCAGGCAAACAAAGGCCTTGCTGACAAATATCAGCAGGCAGATACCTGTTTAATGACACCAAGGAAACATCAAATTGAGGATGTATCCAGACTTATTAAATCTCCCGAGGAGGGGTGGTGAAAAGGTGCTGTTGGTAGAATCATGACCCCCCCAAAAGAGATGGTTACATCCTAACCCCCCAGGGCCTGTGAATGCGACCTTATTTGGAAACAGGACCTTTGCAAGTGTGATCAAGTTGAGTCCATAATGGAAGAGGGTGGGCCCCAAATCCAGTGACTGGTGTCCTTACTAGCAGGCCTGTGATGACACAGGCAGAGACTGGAGTGCTGCAGTTGCAGGCAAGGAACACTGAGGATTTCCGGTCACTACCAGAAGCTAGGAAGGCACAGAGGGATACTTCCCTAGAATCTTAGAGAGAGCATGCCCCTAGCAAATACCTGAATTTGGGCTTCTGGGCTCCAGAACTGCGAGAAAATAAATTTCTGTTGTTTTAAGGCACCAAGTTTGTGGTAATTTGTTATGGCAGCCCTAAGAAACGAACATAAGAGGCAAACTTTATTTAATCTCTTCACTTGGAACAAATGTTCATACTCTCTGCTTGCAAACAGTAACAAATGGGGGGAGGGGAAGAACCTAAGGAGGAATGTCTTGTTTTCTCTGTGATTTTTTTTTTTGAGAGAGAGAGTGAGCAGGGAGGAGGGGCAGAAGGAGAGGGAGAGAGAGAATCTTAAGCAGGCTCCATGTTCAGCACAGAGCCCAACACAGGGCTTGATCCCACGACCCTGAGATCATGACCCGAGCTAAAAATTGGACGTTTAACTGACTGAGCCACCCAGGTGCCCCTCTGTGACTCTTAAGGCCTTCCAAGGCTGGCTACATGGTTACTACTGCTACAACTCTTGTTTTGAAAAGGTACATTTGTTCCAGTGTGACTGATATATTAGGGACTATTCTGTGCATCATATAAATCTTGTGTTTATGCATGACTTCTCCTGAGAAACAGTACACACACAGAGAATGACCCCCAGGTGAAGTGAGCGGAGTGGGAACAGCCAGCTCAGTGCACGTGGTGTTACAGCTTTCCCTGATTTCAGATCACCCCACTCACAGCAACTCAGGAGCTACAATCCTCCCACATCCCCTCCACAAGCAAGCTTCAGGTCTCTTTCAAGGAAAAGTGCCATATTTATGGTCGTCATTATGTATTTCTTAACCATTTAATGTATGTAAAACCACAATTTAAATCAAATCAAATTCATAACTGCTTTTTAATGTGTCACCAACAATTTCTGAATATTATGCCACTAACCCCACATACCCCCATAAGCCCTGTGGTTTCCACTGTAGAATTTTGCACAGTATGGGAATTTTTAGAACACATATGTCATATTATAGCAGAGATGACTACATACTCTACTGGCCCAAGGCCCTCTCTACTTCTACCCCAAAAGGACCTCAAAGATCTGACTTACTGCCATTCTCCTCCATGTTACCCACTCTCTGTTCCAGCCAAGCTGGGCTCATCATTCATGCTGTAAAGAAAAGTCTGCAAATGGACAGCCTAAAGGCAAAAAAACAGCCACTGGATAACTTTTGCTTGACCTCCCAGAGTTTAAAATTTAAAAAACTGGTTGGCACTACCTGAGGATAGAGTATTTACCATAAAAATCAGATTTACAGTTCTTTTGACAAGCTGTCCCCATCCTTGTCCCCAAGTTCCCCTGTGGTTATCAACTGGCTGTGTGTGGTTGCTCCTTTGGATGGGGCACGGGCGCTCTGTTTGGCCCTAATTCCCACCCTGTCCACCTTCTTCAGTGCCAGCTGGTCCTGTAAACACAGGTTTGTGATCCTGAAATAGGGCTTTGCAGCTAGAGCTGCGAATGGAATGCTCATTCTACTGCTTCCCAACTGGGTCACTGTGGAACAGTTATATGTGCTTTCTGAGACCCTGTTTACATACCTTTAAAAAAGAATTATTACATCTGAAGGCAGTTGGTACGAGCCCCAGAATATAAGAGGACCTTGCTAAAAATATTTCCTGCTCTAAGCTCTCACATACTTGTTTCCTCATTCAGAAGTCTTTTTTACTCCTTTCATCTCATTGAATCTCTCCCTCCGACTTTGGCTCACTCACTCACTCATTCATTCCTCAAATGCTTACAAAGGGTCTACTCTATGCCGGGCACTTTGCTAGATTACAGGCATGATGGAGATGGCAGGAGGTCTCGTGAAGCTTCTAAGTTTAGTGGAAAAGTGGCAAAAGACAAGTAAACAGAACAGCCAATGAACAATTTATGATAAATGTTATGAGGGAAAAGATCTGGCTAGAGTAGGAGAGAGTAACACAGGCACTTAACTTTTTAGAAAGAGAGGTCAAGAGAGGTCAAGGAAGGCTTCTGTGTCAAGGTGGCATTTAACTCAGGATTCAAGGCTAAGAAGGGAGTCAGATAAAGGTTTAGGGAAAAGTGTGTTCCAAGCAATGGGAAATGTTCTGTCATATGGAAAGCCCTAAGAGGAAGGAACTCTTAGAACTGACATCAGGCCTATGGACAATGAAGAGTGGCCCAGGAACCTAGTGAGGGAGGTGGGCTGGCCCTAGTGGAAGTCAGGATTTCATTCCAAGTACAACAGGAGCCGCTCAGGGGTTTTGCCCTCCTAAATCAGGGTCTTCAGGTTTCTTATGCTATTTTATATCTATCTTATATACTATCCTATACAAACACATATATTTTTAAATATATATATATAAAATTTGTCAGATTATTATAAGTCGGTATATTAAAGCATAACAAAGGACAATAGAAGAGATAATTAAAAGTAAAGGCAAAGAAAATCTGTTAAAATTTTTTTTGACCTATGCAAAAAGGTACATGAATCTTTTACTCAAATATAAATTTTAACTCATAAGTAGTTAGTGCTGCTCACAGGCAAAGATCAAACAAATATATTCTCCATTCAGCCTCACTAACTCAATCCCTAGAACGTTTACGTAGATAAAATATTTGACAAAGCTTTCCTCCCTGAATAACACAAAACAGTGTTTTCTAAATACAGTCAAGACCTGAAGTGAAGGAATGATGGACTTTGCATTTTAAACAGATATTCCTGGATGTTGGATGGAAAAAATACAGAACAAAAAAAAGTGGAAACTGAGAAACTGTTCAGATGTCCCTGGAGGAGCCCAGGTGGGAGCTGAAGATGGGGGCTGTGGGTCTGGAGAGCAGAGGATCACTGCAGGATGTGTGCTGGAAGGAGAAGCGACAGCACATGCAAGTGGGTACAGATGTGAGGACTGGAGAATGAAGAGCCAGGAATGACTCTCGGGTTTCTAGCCTGAACAATGAATGGCATGGTGGAGGGAGCGAGGGTTGGTAGGAATTCAGAAGTCTGTTTTTGGCCTGTCAAATATGAGATGCCTAAATAGATATGTCAAGTAAAATACCAGATAGATGAGTGTGGAGCTCAAAGTATATTTCTGGTTTCAACTTCAATGTAAAGAGCTTAGAAGTCGCCATTTCATCTTTACAACAAGAAAAAGCAAGATAAACTGAAAATCAATGACCTTCCTTGGACTTATCAGAGAACTTGAGTGTGCAGGGCAAATCCGTCCCCAAATCTGGAGAGGTGGATTCACAAAGTCTGAGATCTGCTTAGATGGAGCAGAAGCCAACCTGGAGGAATATTTAAAAGGTAATTACAAAGAACTGCTGGAGACTTAGCACAGACTAGGATGGGAGTAAGAAACTCCTGGGGGCCACAGTCTTGGGAGGGTCAGGGATTTTAGACCTAGGAATTCCACTTGGTTCTCAAGGTGAAGAGATGAGAAAGATTCCCTGGTGGCTCTGGTAGGGGTAGGGGAAGAATTTTTGTAAAATAAACTCAAGGGTTTCTTCTGTAAAATAAACACAGGCCTATTCCCCAGGGGAAAACACTTTACTTGAGTCCTATCCCACCTGGGGAAAGGGCATTTCTTCAACTCCAGGCCTCTCAGACCTTTCTATCTTAGAGAAAGGGGTGGGCAGTAAGGGAATAATACACACTTGTGAAGGTTACAGCCTGCAATATGATTTATAAGAAAAATATAATTGGTCATTCAGATGACAAAAATATATTTTTCAGATATATTCGATCTTCACCCACAGCTCCTAAAAATGCTTTAGAGCCAAAAAAGTGAAACGAGTGTCTTGTTATTAATGAAGGTGACTTTTGGGACCCCTCCCAACGGCAGGGGCTGGTTGCCAGAAGGATCAACCATGTGATTAAAAGGTTGGAACTTTCAGTACCACCCCCCCACCCCGGGGGGGTTGGGGTGTGGGGGAGGGGCTGGAGGTCGAATCAGCCTTAAGATTAAGTAAGGTCAGTTACTTAATCAATCATGCCTATGTAATAAAGCCTTCATAAAAACCCAAGAGAACAGCTTTTTGGCCCTTTACAGAGAGCCTCCATGCTTGGTGAACCAGAACACTTCCATGTGTCACCAAGCTGGCCCCAAGCTTCACGAGGGCAGAAGCTCCTTCGTTTGGCACCTTGCCCAAGGTATCTTCATCTGGCTGGTGATCTGTATCCTTTAACAAACTGGTAACCATGAGTAAGTGCTTCCCTGAGTTCTGTGAGCTGCTCTAGCAAATTAATTGAACCTAAGAATGTCACTGGAACCTCTAATCTGTAACTGGTTGGTCAGAAGCTCAGCTAATAGCCTGGGACTTGTGACTGGTGTCTGAGGTGAGAGTAGGGGTCAGCCTTACAGGGCTGAATCATTAGTCTGTAGAATCTGATGCTATCTCTGCGCTGATAGTGTCAGAACTGCTTGGTGTTGTGTATGCGGGACCCCTCCAACCCCACCTCAAAGTTGGAACTGGGTCCTGAAACTCATACAGGTAGCCCAGGGACACAGGCCTACTAAATACTGAGATTTCATCATAAGATGATAGAATGCTTTCCCTCCCTGACACCTTACCACCCTACCAACCGGGCTCCAGTATAACAGTGGATTACAGATGGAAGAGCTTCAAGACACACACTCTCTGAGGAAGAATATCCAAGGAAGCCCAAATTCAAGAGGAGAGACTAAGACAAAGACACTAGAGGAATCTGAAGCCTCTGGATCTACAGCCACAGCAAACACCACACACAGTTCAACCCTAGCCAGATTAACATAAATCCTCATAGTAGAGGTTTATTTACTTTACTTCTTATTACTTAACAGCAGATACTGTCTGGTTTTAAAAAGAGTATGTATAAGGCATGCCAAAAGGCAAGAAAAACACAATCGGAAGAGATAAAACAAGCAGCAGAATCAGACTCCAAAAGGACAAAAATCTTGGAATGACCAAACAAGAAACTTAAAATAGAAAGATCAATATGTAAGGTCTCTAGAGGAAAAAGTAGACAACATGCAAGAACAGATGAGAAATGTAAGAAGATGGAAATTCTCAGAAAGCAGGAAATGCTAAAAATCAAAAACACGGTAAAAAAATGAAGAATGCCTTGATGGGCTCGTCAGTATACTGGATACAACCAAGGAAAGAATGAAATGCAAAGGGAGAAAACAATGAGGGAAAACAAAACAAACAAAAAAACCAGAACAGAGTATCCAAGAACTATGGGACAATTTCAAGATATAACATATGCATAACTGGAATACCAGGAGAATGGGGAAATGTTTGAATACTAGCTGAGAACTTTAAAAAATTAATGACAAACACCAAAGCACAAATCTATGAAGCTCAGAAAACATCAAGCAGATTAAATACTAAAATACTACATCTAGACATATCCTACTTGTGTGACTAAATACAAATAAAAGAGGCTTAATTCTCCCTGTTGAAAATAAAGGAAGAAACTTCTTTCCCTTCAGAACTCTTTCTCTGTCTTCTTGATATGCATGTAAATCTTTATAATGGTTGCATAAGCCTCTTACCAGTCTCACGACTCAGGAATGTTTTCTCAAGGATCTGGGACCCATTATTTTGAAATGTAAACTTCAAGAGAGATAGCTCCCCTACCTCTTAGGCCTCTGGGAGAGGAAGGGTCTAACTTGGTGGGCACCTTGCTCCTATTTGCAAATTACCTCCCATCATAAGGATTTAAGAAAATCACCCCCGCCTCGGTCCCCAGTAAAGCCAACTAACTAGCACAGGTGGGTTTCCACAATTTCCATGATAAAGTTAGGATCTTGAAAACATGTATGATGTAATGGGTTGTACCTACTTGCCTATACAAACAAGTGAAATTCCTTTCTGTCTTTGCAATTTCTTAGAAGACTGCCTGTAATGCACATCACATTCTGATTTAATGCTTACTAAAAAAAAAAAGAAAAGAAAGAGGTGTTTGGCTGGCTCAGTCAGTGGAGCACGTAACTCTTGATCTTGGGGGTGTGAGTTTGAGCCTTACATTAGGTGTAGAGATTACTTAAAAATTAAATCTTAAAAAGAAGCAAAGCAAAGAAAGAAACCTGTTTTCTGTCTCTTCTACCTTTACAGAGAGGTTTTCTGAGTTGGGAGAAGATTTTGTTTCTTTTAATTATATTTCCTTAACATATTCAAACCACAGAAAACCAAAGACAAAGAGAAAATACTGAAAGAAGCTGGAGGGTGAAGATGGGGGAAAGAGAAACAAGGGTAAGATTCATTGCAGATTTCTTACCAGAAACCACATAAGCCAGAAGATAGAAGAATGAAATAGTTCAAATGCTGAAAGAAAGAAATCACCAAAGTAGAATTCTACATTTGACAAAAGTATCCCTCAAAAGTGGAGAAGAGTCCATCAGTGGATGATGACTGGATAAATGAATTGTGGTATATCCATACAATGGGTTATTCAGTCATGAAAAGGAATGAAGTACTGATTCATGCGACATCATAGATAAATGAACATTATGCTAAGTGAAAGAAGCTAGACACAAATGATCCATATTATATGTATATGAAATGTCCAAAACTGATAAGTCTATAGAGACAGAATGTAGACTAGTGGTTGCCAGGGTCTAGAGAGAAGGAGGAACAAGGAGAAGAAACAGGGAGAAACTGCTTAATGGGTAAGGGATTTTATTCTGGACTGATGGAAATGTTTTGGAACTAGACAAAGGTGGTAGTTGTACAGCACTGTGAATGTACTAAATGCCACTCTTCACTTTAAAATGGTTAAATTTTTTTTTAATGATTTCATTTCTTTATTTGAGAGAGAGAACGAGAGAGAGAGCATGAGTAGGGGGGTTAGAGCAGAGAGAGAGGGATAAAAAGACACCTCACTGAGCAGGGAGCCTGATGTGGGGCTTGATCCTAGGACTCTGGGATCATGACCTGAGCCAAAGGCAGACACTTAACCGACTGAGCCACACAGGTGCCCCTAAAATGGTTAATTTTACGTCCTATGAATTTTGCTGAAAATAATTAAAAAACCACCACAACAAAAAAGTCAATGAGAAATACTTTCTCAGACAACAAAACTAAGAGATGTCATCACCAGCAAACCTGTCCTGTAAGAAATATTAAAAGCTTTTCTTTACTTAGTAAATGATACAGGTTAGAACTTGGATGTACATAAAGAATGGAAGAGCATTGTAGGAGTAAGTGAAAGTAAAATAAATCTTATTTTCTTATTCCTAATTGATCTAAAAAATAATTGTTTAAGTTAATAATAGTAACAATATATTGGGTGATTACAGCATGTGGATAAGTGAAATGAATGACAGCAGTGTCACAAGGGATGGGAAGAAGGAATTGGGAACACTGTTATAAGAAACCTATATTACATGTGAAACAAAACAGTATCATTTGAAGGTAGGCTTATAAAATGATTACTTTAAACCTCCAGAGCAACAACTGAAAACACTTGTAAAGACGTATATTTGATACATTAAGAGATAAATGGGATCATACAAGTTGCTCAATCAAAATCAGGTAAGGCAGAAAAAGAAGCCTCTGGCAACAAAGAGAAAACAGTTATACACATGGTTCATATTAATGCATATATATCCATAACCACTTTAAATGTGGATGGTCTACATATAACACTAAAGGACTAAGACTTGTTTGGTTAAAAAAAGAATCCCCAACTATAAATTGTCAACAGGAAACCCCAGGCACAGACAGATCAAAAGTAAAGGCATGGAGTAAGACACCATGCTATCATTAATGAAAAGACAGCTGGAGTAACTGAATTGAATTTAAAGACAAAGTAGACTTCAGATCAAGGAAAGTATCAGGCATAAAGAGGGGCATTACATGATGATAAATGGGTCGATTCCCCAAAATACATAACAATCCTAAACATGTATGCACCTAACAACCGAGCTTCAAAATACATGAGGCAAAAAATGATAAAACTGCCAAGGAGAAAAAGAGAAATCAACTATTATAGTTGTAGATGTCATTGTTTCCCTGTCAGCATGGTAGATTAAGCAGGCA